CCCCCCCCCCATTCAATCCCATGGCTGCACATTTATGGATCCCAAGCAAGGGAGAGATGAGAGAGGAGGGCAAGGGTAGTTCAGGCCCAGGAGACGGGGTCAGGCCTTTCACTTCCCTAACTGGGACAGAGCAAAGGCTGAAAGGTGCTTGGGTTCTAGAAGAGAGGACATACATGGTGAGTAGGAGATGTGGCCGTTTGAGTTGGTAACAGCTATCAGGAAACAGGTGACAGGTTCCCTAGAGGCCCATTGGGTCATGAGTATAGAGGCAAAAGGAAGGAGTCAGTGTTCTGCTCCCAAAATTTCAGCACGGTCAGGGGAAGAAGCCCAGCAGGTTCCAGCAATGGAAAGGCTACCACATGGCTTACACAAAATGTCTCTTGGCTGTTCACAGGGACCCTGCACTCCCACTGAGGAAGGACACAGTGAAACAGTTGGGGCAGCTTGGTTTCTAGCCTCAGTTCCCAAATTTCCTCAGCCCCACTAGCTGGCAACAGCTTGATTCCACGGGACCATCTGTTGAACATTCCCCCGGTGCCATGGCCTGCTGCCAGTCCCCAGCGCCAGCCAGTCTGGCCTTCTCCTGCTGTTGGCGCCTGCCCACCCCCTCCCCACTGCCCAGACTGCCACACCCTGGATTCTACCCAGTGCAGCTGGGCACCCACCTACCCACCCACTCTTTGGCTTACTCCAGCCCCCTTGCCTCTCAGGAATTTTGCCAGTTTGGGGCACAGTAGCTCAGGTTTTTTGGGGGAAGACCCAAATCCAGAGAGTCTGGGGAAGAGGGGCTTGGATGTTCCTTGGCGTGGGCTCCCACTGCGTTCTGGGGTTTGTCGGCTTCAGGGAACCCCACCTTCATTTCTGTCCCCATCCCACCTTCCCCCTTGCCTGGAGCTCCCCAGCGAGAGTAAGTTGATCCCTGACACGCAAATACCACCAGCTGCCCCAGCCACAGAATGTGCTGAGGACAGGGTGAGGGCAAAGAGCCTTAAAATAAACTCTAGGGCATCCCCCTCACCAGCTGACTGGCTTTCCAGAGCTTGGTGGGTGAGTTTCGGGTTTGTGGTGGCAACAGTAACAAGGCAGAGAGCTGAGGGAGAAAAGGGTCAGTTCCTAGCTTAGGATCCTGGGCCTAGAGAGAAGCAGGAATCCAACAGTCTTTATCCCTCCCACCCCAGGGAAAACACTTGGACAGAAATTCTCTTTCTTGGAAGTCTTGCCTCCGCCCTCCTCAATCTCTCCCATCACATCAGCCTGTGGGGCCAGCAACTCCTTCCACCTTGAGGACAGAGGAGTGAACCGGCCACAGCTAGGGGTGGAAGACGCGCATGCTCGCTGGCTAGGCGTAGGCCCCGCCCCCGAGCGAGCCTCTGATTCCTGACAGGAGTGATGCCAATGCTGTCACCGCAGAAGGCCGGCTGGCAGGTGTCTGGGACAGGGGCAGGTGCCCTGGGAGGGCATGTACAGCAACTGTAAATAACCCTCTTCCCCGCCTAGGGACCCAGACTGGACTCCAGTCTCCCTTCGTGGCCTCCGGAGCCACGGAACCGCCCAGCAGGACAGCAGTGGTGGCACTAGGGCCGTGCCCGGACTGACTGCCTTTGTTCAAACAACCTAGGGGACCATTTCGCCTGGGGCGCCCAGCAAACCTTTTATTTATGTTATTTATTTATCTATTTATTTATTTATATGGTGACGTCTTGTCTCCCACCCCCGCTCCCTGAGACCTTTGGTTACCATTAGAGTATTATTTATTTGTACGGAGGGGTAGGGTGTGTGAGTATGTATGTTTGTGTGTGTGTGTGTGTGGGGGGGCGTTTCTAAATTATTTTTGTGCATCTTCCCCCACCCCCACCCAGGCCTCTGTGGATGGATTTTGAGAAGCTGGGTGGAGGTGGAGGTGTCAGCCTTTACCCTGAAGGTGAAGCCCCCAATACCTGGCAACCCGGAACATCCTAGAGGAGTTTGCCCCAAGCACATGGGGCCCACGATTTGTCCCTCAGCCTGATGTCATTGATGCTCTGCCCCAGCGCCCTGTCCACAAGCTACCTCACTGAGTGACCCAAGAGATGCAGACAGCCAAGGCCTGTGAGCGCAGATGCTGAATCGAGGCAGCAGAGCGGGTGCTCACATGGGGCTGGAGTCTACAGGTAGCATGTAAGGGACAGACTGCACAAAGGCAAAATGGCTTATGAAAGTCCCTCAGGGAGGGACCAGCCTGGAGACAGATGTGTTTTCTCTTGGCAAATGGGTGAGGCTTCCCCTGAGAACTTACTGAATGAAGCGGTTGCCCGTGGGGGTTGAAAATGGAATGCTGGGATGGCACGTGGAGGGGCAAGGTGCTCAGATGAAGAGAGGATGGCAGGAGCTGAGTGGACTAAAGGAGGAGAAAATGTTTTCCCCTGACTCCAGGGCATGTCCTACCAGGCAGCATCACCCACTCACTTTTCTGTGCAGTTGGTGGGTTTCGTGTGAGTTAAAAGCAATTTGGCCTCACTGTACCTAATTTCCCCTCACCCACTGGGATTTAGAGACTGCTCTGGTGGAACTGAAGTAGAGTCAGGCTGCTTTGTGAAAAGGTACCAGCCACACTGGGAAAGACCCACCAACCCAAGGCAAAGCCTTTTTCTCTAATCTCTAGCTGTTCCACCTGGGGAATTAGGAAAAAAAAAAGAGAGACCCTGAAATTAGGAAAAACAAGATGACAGAAACCACCAGATGCTTCCCCTGAGAAGGTCACTTTGAAGCCCATCCTGGGACCTGGGACCCAGAGCCCTTTCCTAGTCCTGCCTCTCTGCCCAACTGGCATTGTTTCCTGGCCATTGGCTAGAGAGGGCTCAGCCCTTTCCAAAGTCACCCTACACTGCCCTGCACTTGCCAGCTTGCCTGGTCAAGCCTTGGATTTGGTGAGATTTTTGCAACATCCCAGGTGGTTTTCCTGGCAGTGTGACTCCATCCAAACCCAAGGCGGTATCCTACCCTGGGGGAAGTGTATAAAAAGGCTGCTTCAGATGCCTTCTGGGGGTGACTTCAGCTCCTCCCTCATTTGGTGGGTTGCTCTACTTTACACTCTTTTTCAAAATTTTTTTTTTTTTTTCTATCCAAAAATAAAACTCCTGCTGGGATGTTGGCAACCTTGATTAACCAGAGCCCTCAATCCTTGGCCTGCTGTTTCCAGGCCAACTTAACCCTCATTATTGCAGCAAATGAGACAGATTCCCTTAACCCCACTCATTGTGAGGACAGATCTTAAAAGCCAGCATCCAAGAGGGCAGAGGAAGATAGCTGGAGGTCAAGTACCATAGACCCAAGCCCTCTGACCGTCTCCCTATAGCCATGCAGTCAGTCACCGGGTGAACTTGAGCGAAGTGCTCTCCTTCTCTCGGCCAAAGTTTCCACCTCTGTAAAGTGGATGGGCTTTTTGAGATACCACCAAAATGTTGACATTAGGCCTGAGAGATTGTCCAAAGCCTTGATTAAGCTCACAGACACTCACGAGGAAAAGGAAAATATTCTTAAGGATTTTTAGGAGGGCTCATTAGAAAGAGTCCTGTGGCACAATGGTTAAACAAGTGGCTGCTAACTGAAGGGTCAGCGGTTCAAACCCACCCAGCAGGTCCATGGGAGAAAGATGTGGTGATCTGCTCCTATAAAGATTACGGCCTACAAATCCCTATGGAGCAGTTCTATTCTGTCATGTGGGATCCCCATGAATGAGAATTGACGGGATGCTTAACAACAGCTCAATCACGAGAGTTAAAAACTAAAAGCAAGTCTTGAATCCCCTTCAGCTAATTGGGAAAAGCTAACCCACCCAGAAACATTCTAGTTAAATGAGGTCTGACTGCATTCTTATGTCAGTCTTTGGGCTTTGAAGGAAGTTAATCTTCCAAAAGCAAGAAATCAAATTCGGAAAGACACAAGCGCCCACACGTCACTTCCTCAGACCCAACCTCTTTTCCAAAAGGCTTTGCTTGAAGAGGTTAGAATTCGGAGTGCTCCCAAAGGTCTGGAAAGCACTTTTTTTCCCTTCTCAAGTCCCAATCACAGGTTTTCTTCTATCGTATTCTTTTCATCTGTTCTCCCTTAAACATTCAAAATACTCTCTTGTAGGTGTGTCTTGTCTTCTTTCCTCTCTAGCTGTACAGAAATTTCTGTCGGATCAAAAGCTCCCAGGATTCCTCCCAACAAGTCCCTCCCACTGGCCAAGTGCATCTGGCAGAGAAAGCTGTGCTAGGGACCCTGTCAGCAGGGGATGCCCTGTAGCAACCTTTCCCTTTCGCTTCTGGGCCAGTGGTGTTGGGACACTTGCTGTCTTCTCTCTGTCTGTGGCTAATTTGTTTGTTTTTGGTTGTTATCTTGCACTGTAAATACCATGATGGGGTCCCCTCACCAGGACGTGGCTTATTTAATAATTTATTTCCTATTTATTGAGAGGTGCTGGGAGAGGGCCACCGTTTCCCTTGACTTGCTGGTGGAAATCGGTGTATCTCTCAGCTCTGGGTGCGGCC